GAAAGGGCCAGAGTATTTTGATTTAAAAGTGGGACAATCCCTCCAAATGAGGAAGAAATACTTTGGAGTCGCAGACCTGAAATAAGCATGCAGCAAAGAAACTCCTGAGCTGCATTCTTGTTTCAGGTAAGTCACACTAAAGAGATTTGGAATGACTGCCAGGGAACAAACATTTACATAAAGAGAGCTCAGAAATGCATGTATTGTTCTTATTAAAGGTATCCTTTTAAGTGGAACTGCAGAAATCCAGATCTTTTTTTACAAACATTGATTGTGACGTCATCTGCAACTCCTCTTCACCTCGTCCAATCAAAAAACACCTGGCAGTGTGTGTGCAATAAAAAATAAAATAAAAGGTGTTCTCTGAATGATGATGGTGCCAAGTGAGCGACGCCTTGTGTTTAGTGCGCAGAGAGGAAACCACTGGAGCAGCACACGGAAAGTCGTAGCTATGACTGTATGTAGTGCGGACTACTACAGTAATTTTCAGCATCCCTGGAGGCCCTGCAGAAATCGGATATGGATACTTACATTGAATCAAGCTGGACCAATGTAAGGTTGCAAAAAAATAATTCCTGGAGTTCCACTTTAACTACCCATGACTGGCACACACTAAACACAAAACTGGCAATGCTTGTGATAGTCTTTATGGTAAAAATAAAGGAAAAGTAATCTTAGGAGACTGTGCTTCTCCAGCTGTAATTACAAAGCGTGGAGGATGATGAGCAATGAAAGAGTTCTTGCTATCACTTGCTCAGTGATAGATACAACTAGATCCCCAAAGGATAACATTTTGCAGGTGGAGACAATGCTATCATGAGTGCTGACGACACGCTTCATCTACACTTTGTAGTGTAGGCTGGCCATCTCTAATAATGATGCAGTCACCATCTGCAACATATTAGGATTTGTTTTAATTTCCCATTACAGAAACCACAGAGTCATTCTCATACTGTAAATGAGTTCTCATATTGGAAGTTGAAACTTCCTCTTTGTTACTCATTTCTGAAAAAAACAATGTATAAAGAGATAAGAGTTCCTGTTTACAAGTTTCTGTGCTTACTGTCCTAAATCTGTGCCCAAACTGTATGCATGCATTTGTTAGTATTTCAGCTGTGTGCATTCATGCTGCATTAAATAGTTAATATGCGTTAAACAGAACACAATTTGGCAGCCCAGTTCGTTCTTAAAAATGAAATTCTACCATTAATGGTTCAGTACACTTGTATTCCCAGCTCTACCCACCTGCAGAGACGTGACCCTCTAATTCTACAGTCCAAGTAAAACCCCAGCTAAAGGGTAGAGTTAAAGCCATCATAGCTTTTCCGCAGATTTGACAACTCTAAAACTGTTGCCCGCCTACAATAGACTAGGCAGACATAGAATTTTAAGCTGAAAGTGACCGTGTAGCTCTAAAAATGATCAATTGCTTGGTACATGGGGAGAGGATATCAGGAGAACAGTAAGCATACCCTGTGCCAGTATACCCTGTGCCAGTAAGTAGGGATGTTCAGATACCACTTCAAATACCAGTGCAGATATTTGGCATTTTCACGAGAACTACCAGGGTTGCAGCGGTTGCAGCTGGGACCGGGCTCTGGCGCTCCACCACTGTTCTGAAATCATTAATCTGTGTTGTTTTAGAAAAACTCACATATCAATAAACAAAAATGTATCAGTACTTGTATCTGAGATTACTTGGACAAGTATCAGTACTTGTGCTTGAAAAAATGGTATCTGTGCATCCCATATTTATATTTATAAAAAAAATTATACATTAAAACAGAGATGTACAAATCCCAGGAGCCCTGCATGCTCTTTAAAAATGACAGCTGCCTCCTAACGTTTGAATTTTTATCTAGTCTAGTCTTGGAGCTGGAAAAGTATCTGTACTTGTACCGAGTACATACTTGGTATCTGAACATCCCTAACAGTAAGTGAGCTATTTACACACTCAAAGACTTGTAACCATCTGTACCTGCCTACAAAATACCATCTTTATGTAATGTCATACATACAAAGTGTGGTAGTCAAATGTGAAGAAAAGAGGTCAGGAGTATAAAACTTGTGGGCCCACCCCATAACCCATTTTGGAAAGTAAAAATCCCGCAAGATAGAAGAAATATACCAAAGCTTAAATGCAAAATGTTTATAGAATCTTTTCCCAAAAGAAACATTGAGGCTGCTGCCAAATGAAAGAGATTTACGAGAGATTACATGTATAATGTTTATAGAATCCTTTCCTAAAAAAAAACACAAAAATTAAAGGAAACCGATATTAAAAACTTCCCTTTCTACAAATGCTAGCCATCTGGCTGTCATGCTGACCCACCAGCTTCAATAATGTAAGTAACTGACCTGGAACAAGTAGGCAGATAGGGATTTCTGACTTTACTGACTTCCCTGATCTGCATTCCTGTTCTGGGTCAAAGACTTAAAAAATATTGAACCCAGAGGGTCAGCATAACAGCCAGGCAACTAATATTTTCACAAGGAGCTTATTGATGGCAGCTCCATATTTCTTTTAGGAAAGGATTAATGTAACAGATAACCTTTGGCAAGGCATATGCATAGTTATAGTTATATAAACTTACAGCCTAAACACATTCCAGGTGCGTCAAAACAAAGCCAAAGTTTGTCTTTTGCCAGTATGCTGTAGAAAAGAACCCTTGCTTTTCACCTGGAAACAGTAGTCTCTCTGCAGAGGTCATTCGTGTTCCCTGCTAAGTCAGAGCTAGAGCTCTTCAGTCATCAAATGTTATTTTCCCTGTTGATTAAAATACTTTAGCTCTGATTTACCAGGGGGCATGTTGACCCTCTGCAAATAGACCACTGTTTCCACACAGAAACCAAGCACCATTCTCTACAGTAAGCTGACAGGGAATTCATTTTCTACACAGGCTGTGGATGCACCTGGAATGCGCTCATGCAGAAGAAATATCTTTGCGGGGCCAGTTCTGGGATTGCAACATCCAGAGCTCGACGAACTTTCTCTTCATGAGGGTACTTTCTCCAAGCAAAATAGAAGGAGTGTAAGCTTAACACAGGGCCTACCTCTCCATGCTTCCTTTCAAAATAGTGATCCTCCCGCAGTGAGTAGGAAACCAAGCCCCAAGGGTTGTACACACTGAGCAGACCCTGTACAGGCCAGACCATGCTAACCAGCATTTGTGCATTACAATGGGCACAATTATACTTGTTATACTACAATACACACTTTGGGGCTGACGTAAAATTTCTGCCCAGCGTATAGCTGAGTGCAAGCCGCTCACACAACATTACAGCCACTGAATAGAGCTGAGAAGCATAGGAAATTCTTGAAGTTTTATACATCGACCCCTAAATGTTATCCCAGCAATTTCACTAAAAACAAAATGAATCCTTAAAAGTGAGTGAATGTATGGTTTTCATACAAAAAAAAGGGATATTTTCTAAAACACATATGTCAAGGTTGACATTCAGTCATGATCGTTTAGTTATAGGGTTTATGTGTTTATAGTTACAGGTCCTGATGGTATTACTATATGAGTGACATCAACATCTGTTTGTCTATTATCTAATGCATCTATTTAGATCCTAACTATGATGATATGGCATGATATTTCTCTTTTCCAGTTTTATTACATTTTTTTATTATGACAATATTTTATATTGTTAAAACTTTAAAACAGAGAGTTGATATAAAATGAGCTGGCTGTAGCACAATTTGTGCACAGATTTTTATTCTTCTTCTGCATATATTTCCAGAAACAATCCTGCGATTTACATGCAAATACTGTGGAATATCTGCAGATCATTGCAAATACATATGCACCTACTCCTGTCAGATACTTGCGGATATTTTCTAGACCATCTTGTTCTTAGAATATAAAATCAGTCAAACTGGCTTTTACCTCTCATTCTTTGACCATAAACATTTTCCATGAAAGAAAAACCAATACATGTCTTTATCACAGTTAGAGAACTGCAGTCATTTGCCAACGAACTACCTCCTATTACTCTAAACCAGCCTTTGTCAACCAGGGTGCCGCGGCCCCCTGGGGTGACTCCTGGCTTGCTCAGGGTGCCTCAAACTTTTTGTACAGAGGCACTTGGACTCAGGACTCTGATGTGAAGGGAGGTTTCTGATTTTAAAGAGGGGATCCTGATTTGAAAGGGGTCTCTGATGTAAAGGGGGCTCCTTGTGCAAAAGGGGGAATGTGAAAGTAGGGGACTCTGATGTGAAAGGGAACCTTACTTTCTTGGGCTTTTGTGTGGGGTCCCCCCCCCTTTAAACCCCCTATCAGACTCCTATCTCAGATAAGGGTCTGATATGGATTTTAAAGGATCCACGTGTCATTTCTTTTGTACATGTTTACATTTATGTTTTTTACATTTTAAACCGGGGTGCCTTGAGATTTTACATACTTTTAAAGGGTGCTGTGCCTGAAAAGAGGTTGATGAACACTAATCTAAACAATGCTGTTAAACTTGCGCATACTTTGTAAAAATGTACAATATAACTTCAACATAAGAGCAGCAAAATTCTGAAATCAGACACTGCAAAGATAAGATTTAAAAAAAGCATTTTGCTAATTCTAAGTTAAATAGTACTACAGTACTACTTTCACACTATCGCATACTAGTAACTAATTCTATAACACAGCCATACTGTCAACATCACAAAACACAGAGTAACTAACATAGCTTAAAACCCCCTACAAAAGACCATGCTCAATTAACACAACATTAATACACATGTATACAATACGGCAGGCTAAATTAAATTATTTTCACAAACATAATTGAAAAATATACAAAATGTTAACATAATTTCAGGTTTTCGCACAGTGATCTGTGACTGATTAGGACGCTGCAAAGGCATATTCTGCCTTTGCTTGCTATAACTACACATCACCGATGATGGGCTTGCCATTGTGTAGACTGGCAGTGCTGGGCTTGGTGCAGCACAGCCATCCCAAAACATACAAGAGCAAGAAAACATTCATGATGGCACTTACCTCTGTGTGGTTAGAGTCCGTACTACTGTAGACAGCAGCTGACCGTCTTTTGCTGAAACTTGCATGACATACTGTGGCTGTCCATTCACAAGACTGCTACAATCTTCCACAGTCTTTCCAGAGGGTGCTGAGCTAGTGCAGTCTGGTAAGACCTCAGGCAGGTGACTGCAGCGGCTTGTTGTCATAGTGACAGACAGCAATTATAGTGCTAATAGCTTCCGTATACGTACTGTATTTCCATCTGCAAAGCAAAAGAAAAAAGAAATAAATGAAAAAACGGTTCAGTTGTTTTTGGCACGTGGAACTCACACATTCGAGACCGCTCAAACAAGGCACGGTTATTTTCTCCAGTGGGTACACGGAATAATAACATCAGGCCTGACTTAAACACAAACATGTGTTGTCTAAGAGAGGAGACGCAGCTCGCTCATAACACATCACCGATTAAACATGACCATTGTCTCTTGGCTAATGAGAAGGATGTTGCAGCATCACAGGCAGGATTCACAGCACAGATGTTCAGTAGACGAAAAGAACACAAGTGCTGCTTTATAAAACAATCTCACACTAAAGAATATGTGACAGGAAAACAGGCTTAACGCTTACTGTTCCACAGACAGGACAGCAGCCTCCCTCAGCTCCAGCAATGATAGCTGTTTTCTTCGTCTGCCGGGATGATCAGGTAGCAACTGCTGTCTTTTCTGAGTAATCCGCGGAGTGTCATAGAGGGACCCGGGCCTCATTTTCATTCTTGTCACATACAGGTGACTCGAAGCTCCTACTTACGCCTGTGGAAAAATCAGTTTTCCACACGCCAGGGGCTGTGAGGCAGGCTGACCATCCAAGGAACTAAATTAATGTAAAGAGCCTTAATGAATCTGCCTCACTTAACGTCAGTTTGTGTTCCCTTTACATCAATTATCGCTGTCTGTCACATCGTGCAGGGCATAGCGGGAAAGACACTCAATCACCTTCTAATAAATCCTTAAACTTTGTTCATAGTGTTAGGAATGGTATTTAAATGGGAAAATGTAGCAGATTATAGGATACTAGATGGCCAGAAATAAAACATTACCAATGTTATTACAAAAAAAAAATTATAATTGTACAAAAGCAACTATTGTTTTCCATAGGAGATAACCACCGCAGCTGTATACCAAAGGGAAGAATGTTGTTTCACATTTACCAACATCAAGTGTGGTAGTATGATACTACTAGTATCAGTATTTGAGTAGTGCTCTCACATATCGGGAGGATATTTTAAAACTATTTGGCTAAACTGCTTCAAATATATTGGAAACAAATTATTGTAATTTTTTTTGTTTTTAGCAGGTAAGAGCGACAAAATCCTCAAGACAAGGAATCCCATTCGCTTGTTCTGAGCGAGACGAAACTCTCAAGACAAGGAATCCCATTAATTTCTATGGCCCAAGTTCACACCTGAGCATTTTGTTGCAAGCAGAAAAAGGCCCGTTGCTGGAAAAAGTACATGAGCTACTTTTTGGCAGATTACTGTGCTTTTTGGTCCTATAGACCTAAATCAGAATTTTTGTGCGACAAAATGCCTAGGTGTGAATGGAGCCTAATGGTGCTTTAGGTAAAAAGTTAAAAAAAATACATCGATTGGAGTTTATCACAACTGGAGCAGACAAAATCTAGAGCAGCTGTGCTTAGCAACCAATCAGCTTCTCTCTTTCATTGTCATCTTAACTAAACAGATTGACGAGAGAAACTGATTGGTTGCCATGTGCAACTGCTCCAGATTTTCTCTTCTCCAGTTTTCATAAATTCTCCCCATTTTATTTATATTTATGCACTGCAGCGGGTTGCCAAGGGGTGTAATAGGTCATACCACCCTACACTGGTGTGAACTAGGACTCAGGGCAAATTGCCTTGTTTATACATTGGGACTGCGTTGGGCCAGGCAGCCCAATATATGCTGGGAATGAGCCCTAAAGTGGGGAAGGGATAGCACCCCTGCCAGTTTTTTTCCTGTGTGTGTGTCACCATTTAGGAGACTTGTCTCTGGAAGAGCAAGATGGAAAATCTTTGAATGCGGACACTTGTTTCAGTGGTAGCTGTCCAAGACAGGATTTTACTCACATTGGAGAGGTTTCTCTTGCCCGCACTTGTAAATATGGGACAAGAAGGGAAGGGAAAGCTGAATAAAACACAGATGGCACAAAAACATGGGTTTTAACCCTTCCCTACTCTAACCAAAATGATAAAGAAACGTTTTGGCATTTAATGTACTTTAAAGCAGAATTCCAGGGCAAATTACTCTTAATGCTTGCAGTGGGGCTACCCCCTCACTACAAGGGTTTAATGTTTGTTTTTGTCTAGATCCAGCGGTCAATGTCTTGTAACTCATCACGTTTTATACACTATGTATAGGACGTGAGAACGCCGAGGGACATTCCATCACTGCAGAGGAGGAGAAGAGTCTCCATTTGGTTTGACTGAAGGTTCTGCAGACATCAGAGCCCCAGTGCATGGCTGCTGCAGTATCTAGTTGCAAGACCTGGAAATGCATAACAGAATCTCCTTGTTAGGCCAGATAAGTAAATTATGAATACTCTAATGCTTAAACTTTAGTCAGCTTTAAGTGGAGGGTTTTCCAGTTTAATCCATCATGCAGAAAACAAATGCACTTGCAGGCCAATACTGAGTGGTGGAGTCTGCTGTTAAGCATTACACAGCTCGCAACTTTTTTCCGACATGAGTAAACAGGACACCTTCTAGCACAATGTAATTAGGCAATTACCAAACCGCTGCCATGCCCCCAGTTATGCGGACCATTTAGAATTTATATGTCATAAATTGGTGAAACCCAGAATTGTTGTTTTCCACCATAACCTTTACTGGCTTATTAAAATAGCAAACAAGATAATTAAGAGGTAGGATGATATTGTTAGTGTATAATAACACTTATGCTAGTTACATTGTACATTTCCATAGCTGGGACAAGTGAGGAAAGCGGGACAGAGGAGTTTTTGGGAGGTATGGCATTGGCCTACAAGTGCAGGGGTTTTCTTTGTTTCATCAGGTTTCTAAAGTTGGTACCATGTCACACCAGTACTTTGCGGAGTTCTGAGACCTGTAACAATTTAGGCTACTTTTTAAATACCGGTATATAGTAAAAAAAATAATCTTGTGTGTAAGCAGAGTGACCAACAGTATTCAGCAAGAAACCCTATAAGATGACCACACATGTGGCATTTACTATCTATAGCATACATGTGGCACTTACGATTTGTAAGGCCTCGTTCACACTGAGTGGTTTATTGCGCGATTTCCGCCGCAAAATTGCGCATATTTCAGCTTCATCTCGCTCTATGTAGCTTGTCCAATGCATTCCAATGGAGCTGTTCACATCTCACAGCTCAATGTCGCCTGTAGCTCATTGCTGAAGCTTGTCGCTTGTACATGACCCTTTTTCCAGGGGATGTTGCGCGATTCAGCCCCAATAGACTCAATGGAGTCGCACGAAATCGCGCATTACCGGTGATATTGCACAACTTGGTCGCGTGACAGAAGGGTCACTTTTGCACTGCAAAATGTAAGGAAAGAAAGATGTCACATCTAGATCGTTTTTGATTGGTTACAGCCCAATGTAGCAGCGACGAAGTCCCGCCCACAAAATGCACTATGTAGCGCGATAAAATGTGCATTGTCGCTCAATATTGTGCAATGTAGCTCAAAGCCGCTCAGCACAAAATTGCGTGGAAAAACGCGCAATATCAATGTCGCTCAGTGTGAATTTGTGTTTGATAGTAGCTTGGGGTGCATTGTGTTTTCCTGCATTTACCATTCAGCCAAATTGATCTGAAATGTAAAATAAAGCATACCACAATCTGATCTCAAACTGACCTTAACTGATCTCAAAATCTTGTGTACACTAGCCTTTGATTGGCAATTACCAGGTACAAAGCAAGGGTAATACGTAGCAACAGTTCTAAAAACTTATAATGTAACACACTTAATAGACAAATTTGCCTGATCTAAAAGGTATAAGACCTGATGTGCTGTAACAGCTGTAGTTCATGCGCTTTTTTCTACACTGATTGAAACATATTTCCTTTCATTTTCTGCTCTAGTAAAAAGACAGCTGGAACTTGATTGGTTGCTATGGCTTTCCATTTCCTATCCTCCATTGTTTTAAATAAATCAGCCCTATTTGTTAGAGGTATTCTATAAAGTGGCTCCAGTTTTTCGCCAACTGTGCGTACTATTAGAATATTTGAATTCAACATGCTCTTCGTTGCATTATACATGCATGTGTGTTTTCCTACTAAATAAGCCTTTGTATTTGGGCTTAGCGTGTATATCCTATAATACTGGGCTTTTCTGTCTTACTGTAGACAGTAAGCTTGTTTTAGAGTGTCTGTGTGTGCGCTCTAGTGCACATGGCCTTGCAGTGAGTGCGGATGTCTACACAAAGTCTCCATAGGAGTCTACTAGACCGCATTACTCTGTTGAAGGACAGTTGCTTTCTGGCTAGATAATCTAAAAACCAATTTAAGCAAGAAACCAGAAGCTTTAGAAACTGAAAACAATGAGCAAGAATCCACATAAACAATATTACAAAAATGAGAAAAAATAACTCTTAGAGTATTTGTTAGCTGCATTAATGGTAATTTAATAACAAAGATCATAGTCATTGTGAGGAACTAATGTTAAGGAAGAATTGCATGAATTAACAAAGTAAACCCTAGCAGTGGGTTAATTTGCAGTAGCTGCTTGTTCTAGGGCTGGAATACAGGAGATATGCTCACCTGATCCTCAGTCCTGCGGTGGTCAGCGCTCACCCCCTTCCCCCCCACTCCAATTGTGGTATGTCCCTCGGCGTCCTCACGTCTAGTGCACCTGAATTGGACGTGATGAGATTATGGGTGCTTAGACCACTGGAGCCTTGGGTAAAAGAGGCCACAGGGAACGGTCTAGCAGCCAGATGGGATTGAGGATCAGGTGAGTACATCTTTAATACAGCCCCAAGACCAAAACGAGCAGTTAAGTCTTGCATTGCAGGGGTAGCCCCACTGCAAGGGTTCACTTTACTAGTTCCTGGTAGTGATGCACAGATACCAAGTACCGTATGTGGTACAAGTACAGATACTTTTCCAGCTACTAGATTGGAGAAAAACCTAAAAGGTTAGGAGGCAGCTGTCATTTTTAAGGAGCAAGGGCTACGGGGCTCCTGTGATTTGTACAGCCCTGTTTTAATGTATGATTTGTCTATATATATACAGTATATATATATATATTAGTGATGCACCGATACAATTTTTTCCAGACCAAGTACAAGTACTTGTCCAAGTCCTCACAGATACAATTACTGATACCTTTTTGTTTATTGTCATGTGACAGTACATGTGCAGTAGATGTACATGTGACAATACATACTAATGATCTGAGGACAGTGGTGGAGCACCAGGGCCCAGTCACAGCTGCATGCCTGGTAGTTCTCATGAAAATACCAAGTATCGGCATTGCTATCTATGCATCCCTAGTTCCTGGAGTTCTTCCATAACGTTTTCCTGCTTGATAAAGAGTTTATTGTCTAAATCATCTTTTAAGCATCTATTATTGGTTTTGAATTATATTCAGAATTACTTCCTGGAATGTATAAAGAGTGTTGTCCGTGCAACAAATGTCACAAATTATAACGGATTCCTGTAACTGTGAGTAAGGTTTATATGAC